TTTGCAGTTTAGTGAAGAAGTTCATTTGCATACTTACCATCTTCAGTATGCAAGAGTAAGCCAGAACAAGAGACAGACCACGAGCAAGTGATTATTAAATCGCTATGAGAGGAGGCGATGATGAGTGGTCGCCGTTTCTGCGACGGTTACCGTGTTAACACGATAAACTGCGTGACGTCGAAGAAATACATGAAGCACAGTTATGATGCTTACCGATCAAAATCTTCCTTCCCAGTGCTTCAACAACAGCCACATCATCGTCAGAAGAATCATGAGAATAAAGAAGTTGACAGCGAGATTGATGAGTTCCCTATCCACTCTGACGCCCCAGATCTGCGGCATGTTCGGCCTCTAGACAGAGTTTGTATTTTCTTGTGGACACAACGGTGGTGGTGGTGGTGAACACGACGAGTTGCTGCTCACTCGCACTCACTTTCAGACTTTCGTCGAAAAACGCCCCGCACCGCCTCTCTGAGCCTATTTCACGCACACTGCTGGTGCCGCCTATTCACATGGTAAAACCGCTAACGCGTAACACGTACTTGAGCTGGCGGGCCGGCTGGTCGGCGGCTAGTTGTCGATGTCAGTCAGTTCTTTCTGTCCTCTTCGTCTTCATCTGCAGCAAACGCTAACTGAGAAGTCGGCCGTTTCATCGGCGTCAATTTTTGTGTCGATAAATCGTTTTGCCTCTCTTCCGTCACTGACGAGGGAGCTGACTTAGAAACTGTGTTTCACAGAGCCGTCTTATAGCTGCTCGGTGTATATGTGATGCGGGACGCTGAAATGAGGCGTGGGTAGTGAGGGGGTTCTGGAATCGAATTTAAATGTGGCATTAAAGTTTCATGTACACTTAGATATCGCCTAAAAGAAATTTCAAGAAATGAAAATTTAAGCTCCTCATTTTTCGCTACAATCTCGATTGTGACTCTGAACACAAACTTTTACCAGATACGAAAGTCTGGCATGCTGCCATCGGAAAGCACGCGTAATACAGATTAAAGAAAAGTTCTGAATGTAGCATTTGGCAAAATCTATCCTGTTTTTACGGCATGCCATTTCAGCAGATCGCAGAAGACGCCTAAAATTTAATCACTTCCTCATTTTAAACGGTTTCAGTGACGTGAACTTAAGTTCAAAAATTTAGTAGCTTTCTTTGGCACTGCACTGTTCTATATAAAAATGAACCTCAGGTTCATAAGTTATTGAGTTAACTAACGCGCAACTGCCCGACTCTTCAAGGCTCAATCATCACCATCAGAAGTTGAGTAGTAAGGAACAGTTGTGCAGAGGAGCATTGTCTCCTTTATGTACAACACTCTCGCATAATATTCATAAACATTAGCGGCTGCCAACGTGGGGGACATGATATAAGTGCCACTGGATAATGCTGCGATTCAAATACATCGTCCGTAGAATGACCGTCTAGTAAATAATTACGTTACATAGCGCACAAATTTTTGCTTCATGCTTCCCTCAGGGGTAAATAAGTGTTACTCAGCCCTTTTCCATTCTGAACCTTATACGTACGGCATTTTTTATAAGAAATTCATGTTCCGTTTCTGGTTGTTTTGCATCCTCTATCACCCATGTATAAAAGTCTTTGTTCACAAAGACACATATAGGTCAATTTGTCAGTAGGCCAGTAGATATCATATCGAAATCTGGGTTACAGCTTGAACTGAGTATTACACTGAGTAGTCAGCTATTTGGTTGGTCAAGACGAAATTCAGCCACAGTGTGCGCTGGCATCGAATACCATGGTCTTATAACTCGTTCCATTCTTGCAAGGCCAAACCAGAATACGATGCTGCCCGTATTTTTCACCACTCACAGATTTACCTGGGGCTAATTCCCTGCTCAAGAAACTTCACTGTAAACTTCACTTTATCATGCCTGATAGACGTTGGCTCTCTGGGTGCAGCCTTCTTCGAATTTTTTTTATGGCTTATATTGAACAGGTTTACTCGATTTCAAAGCAGGTCTTATGCGAAACTGAATGCTTAGATTTGACGCTATCTGCTCAGATCTTGCACCGTATTCCTGACACATGATATTCGTTACTGAACGGAAGACATGCTTTGAAAGACTATGCATTCAGATAATAAAAATAGAGACAGCTCAGCACATAACGTCACCTGATAGGTTCGTAAATAAGGATAGAAAGCATAGCAGTTTGCAATAACTAAGTGCTGCGCTGAGAGTGTCGGTTCAATTGTATCCGTTGGCTTTCAGACTTTATCCGCTTCTTATGCTTTTAAAGCTACAGCTTCTTGTAGAAGCACTCTTTGATTATGACATTGTTTATCAACAATAATTCATGTCACATTTTTTCATTCAAGCTTAAAGCTGTTTTTATAGCCGTTCAAGCAATACAAGTTACACATTTTTATGAATGCTGCGTAACAGAACCATATGCTTCGAAGAAAAGCGGTGCGCTTAAGCTCATTCTCCTCGTTCATTGTCGCAGATGTGAAAACCTGTCATGAATTCTTTAAGGATCTGGATGAGAAAACATGAATAACGTAGACCGAATATTTTATTAGTTCGTTGGTAATTATGCCAAAATTCGCTAAGGTTCAAAACCAGCAGTTGCCGCAAATAACCGTAGTACCGCCTCCAGTCCACTAACAACCATGCCTTGAAGGAAGTCTGTGAAATACTTATCGCATTGTCGTATCGGTCTATCACGCAATAGACTATTTAATTCTGTTGAGTATTAACAAACTGTTTTTGTGCTGTTTTTCCCAAAGATAATACATTTCTAAGGGAACCTCGATAATTTTTAAGCACGCCAGTTGAAATGAAAATTTTTTTGTTGTTGTGAATCTGCACAGATACATTTAGGTCTCTAAAAAGATAATAAATCATACATTAATTTCGACATTAATATTTATATTACCGTTAGAGAATTATGAAAAAAACGGCGTCAAAGCGGCTTATTTATACACAAAACAAAACAGTGGTCAGTCGCATGATTGATTAGTACCAATCTTTTTTTCCAAGTCCAAGTCTTACTTTCCTTCTTGAAAATACGGACGTGGTTTGACTGATTTCAGAATTCCTTCTACTGTTTAGATCGGCGAAGCGAGAGAAGGCAAGTTGTAGGTCCGAGCAGCTGGTAAGATAATTTCCTGACGAGGTGAACGACGAGACTCATCCAATCCGCGCATCGTATCATTCGTATCGTTTCTCGCGGTTGACATTGTCACAGGACTGAATGATTAATAGCTTCACGACGCATCCATTCAGCCAGTGTATTTGCATGATGATGCCGATACCCTCTGGCCAACGAGGGTCATGTTTTTGCTGTGCCACGTGCTGCACGGTCCCGGAAGCTTTCAGTCGTTTCGTGACAAAGCTTGGTTTTCTTTCTGAGTGCTTCATTACAACGTATCGTTCACGCACGTCCCCGATCACTTGTTTTCTCTGGCTTGACAGATGGGTCTCTCATTGACGGTATTGCCAATGTTTTCCTATATGGTATTTCTCACAGTTACATGGTAAATTATCAACCGAGTAGGTAAAGTCGTTATTCTCTGAATTATTTGTTGAGGCGGTACGTTTGTTAGAGCTTTCATGTATAACGCTAATATTATATTTAGTACTAAATAATGCTTTATGAGATAGAATGAAGTATGGTTGGTCATTTCAAGTATTGTGATATTACTGGTATTACACAAGTTAATTTAATCTATTTTATTTAACGGTTTATAACATTATTAATGAATTTAACTGAATTATTTTTGTCACATAATGTTCGTGTAAATTAATATTTTGCCTGTAGTAAATTAATTACGATGGAGCTTCAGAGCTCTTTTTCAGACCATTTATTAAGATTAAATGACCATGTGAGCTAAAGCTTAGATGGGGCTTGTGATAAACAGTAGTTTTCTAGCAATTACCAGATTAATTATTAAAACATCAAGAAAAGTTAGACTAGAATTATTTTCTTTTTCGATGTTTAACCCGGTTTTTTCAGTCACTTTGTCGTTTTCCAGGTATAATGCCTCAATTTTATTACCACTTGGACGAAATCTCAATTTTAAAAATTTCAAGACTGGCTTAATTTAGTATTTACGCATTAGCAGTGTTTCTTGGCATTTACACGGAAATTGCCATTCCCTAATTCCATATTTGAAGGTCGTTTCCGAGCGAAAATTAGTAGGGCTTCTGATATTAGCGAACTGAAAATATTTGCATATCGAAGTACGTTCGATTTTTGGCTGGCCATATGCTGACGAGATTCCATGTTATGACCTCTTACCTGGCGATCGACATCTTTCGAACTGCTCTTCTTTGACGGCGTGTGCGAAGTCGATGAAGGTCCAGAAAGCACGCTGCTGCAACGCTCCAATGCCCTAAGGTAAGGAACGAACGCGTTTGAATCACCACCATCGAAGGGATGCCTGAAGCTCATCGAGTGTTCCATTCGTAGTAAGTTTTGCTCTGCATTTTCGTAGGAAGGATTCATGAATATTATTATTATTATTGTTGTTGTTGTTGAAAAATATTATTCTTGACGCTTCCTTATTCCTTCGAATGTGATCTTTGTTGATTTTTTGAAACATCGCCAATCCTTATATCATTACTGAATTGTTTCACTGTAAATCGATGCAGAAGGCTGCAAAAGGTTAGAGGCACAATCAGTGCATATACGTAGGCGAGCATTGGGAATTTTTTTGCATAATGTTGTAGGATGATATGGCGACAAAGGAGGTGAATCATTTGAAGCGTCTGGAAACACTCCTCGCTGATATTGGCGGGAACACCGGAAAAATGAAATGGAGGTTTAACCAAGCGTCGGCAAACTTCAGGAGTTTCTTGAAATATGTGAGAAATGGCATTTTTTCTTTCACGGGACTTTTCTCCGTTGTAGGCCCGCCAGCAACTTAAGTCAGCTGTCTTGAACTCCATATTTGCTGGAGCGGTTGCTTAAAGAACTGTTTATTCAAGATGTCAACGTCTGTCAACTATTGGAAAGTCTTGCAAAACTTTTACAAGGGTAAAGAATTTGATGGAGTAGAGCCCTTCGTGAGATTTTGATTGTGCACAAATATCATCGACCGGTGGTGGACTACAGAACCGCCCTCTTAAGCTGCCAGAGATGGCTGTCACCTCTGCTAGAGGAACTATGGGATAGGATAATCATAATTAAAGCATCTGACTTTTTTGGCGGTGCTCATGCACCGTTCTTCTCAACAGCGTTCAGCACTCATTTCTATGAATTGATCTCAAAGCGCAACCTCATCAGTGAATGAGGTACGAGCGTTGTGACCACTAGCGATCAACTTGAGAAAATTGTCGAATCAGTTAAGCCTGAACTGTGAAATAGTCAAAACAGTGGAAATGTTTCAAGACTAGGCTATTACGGGTTCGCTCTCAGTCACAGTATGACAATTTGAAACATCTGCTTGCTACGAGCAATATTGCTTTTGCCACAGCATACAATGTCGAGGAATAAGTATTTCGTTCCTACGTTTGTGATCATACTGAAAACTGAATAATCTATATAAAAGGGTTTATTTGTACATAAGGAAAATAACCAACTTGTTCACTCAATTCATTGACCACTACCCACATTTTGCTATGTAAGCTTTCTTATATCAGTCTAGATATGATTACTAGACGGACAAAACTAGTCTGAGATAGCCTACTGTTAATGTTTGTCGTTCTCTGATGACAATGAATCGACAACATTATATTCAGATGAGAGAAATTTCAAACTACTTGCTTTTCTTCCTTTTCAAATGCCCATTTTTCTCAAAACTGTATTTTTTACTTTATGAAAATCTCGTCGTTAGTCCTTCGTTGTTATTCAGTATGCCTTGATATAATTTTTTTTGAATCATATAGAGAATTATGGCGACCCGCATGAAATAACTGTGTTCGAACGGAAATGTATTAAACAAAAGTGACATGCAAAATTTGTTATATATATAACGGCCAAAAGGCAAAAAACTTTATTTCACGTATGTCTTGTTTTCCAGTTTTTCAACGTGAATAAACCAGAAACGACCACTTTTGTTGCCCTCCTGAAATTCCTGTTAACGTTACGTAAGCGGGTTTATTGCGACATTGCAATAACTAGGCCATTTCACTAAGCACAAGAGCTGCTGCTGACGTAGAACGAGGAACAAATAGGCTGCTAGTGCTTAAGACAATGAGAGGTGCCTCGTTCACGATGGAAGCGACGACGACGAGAATTTGGTTGCCCACTACTCTTGGCTTTATTGTTATTTTTAAAGTAATGGCTAGCCTTTGGTTGGACAAGGACTAGATGGAAGCGAGCTCGAATTAGCAACACCGGTCATTACGTTGTTATACATCAAACAGAAGGTGTTGCCATCAACCGCCCCATGCCAAGTTGCAATAAAATGATCGAATCGACGAGAAGCGTTCATGTCTTAAGC